ATTTTCTGGGCAAAATGTTTGATTTCTATGATTAATAGAGAAGTGATACATCAAATGTGTTCATAAGGCAATTATATTAAATAAAGAAATATTGTTAAATGCATAAAAAATTCATGGTTTGACCCACTTCCCAAAATCTGACAAAAGGATCAGATATAAAATTATTTTTTTAAAAGCTTTGTAATAGGATTAGGTAGTAATAACACCATACGAAAATATACACTATCCTCTTTACTAAATGAGTGACAAAGAAAACTCTCTCTTCCTCTCTTCTATATATTTCCTTTCCTTCCTTCTATTGTTCCTATTCTCGGTAATGGACATGAACCCAGACTTAGTTTATCTGGGTCAGTGAACATCATAAAAAAAATCACCTCATGACAACACGTCCTGCCAAAAATCAGATGGGAAACATGGATGTGTCAGCCCCAATATAAAGAAGAAAACCACGTACGAGACTAGAGATACTGCAGTGGAGAGGAACTTGATTTGAGGTAGAAGTTTGAGACACAAGGGTTGGTGATTCATTGGATGTGAGTTTGACCTGATGTACAAAAAGAGAAAGAAGAAGAAAAGATGAATGCAACAAATTAATTTCCGCCAAGCAGAAGGAACACAGCAACCCTGTTTGAACTTTCAAATGACAAAAAAAGAACTATAATGATAGTCAACCATTTTAAACACTGTAACCAAATGGAGTCAAAAACAAATGATACTATAGACAGTAAATTTGGCTTTTACTTCATCTCTATATACCATAGCTTCTTGGTTAACAAGAATAGATTCATTAACACCTCTTCATATAATATTTTACTATGTTTTTTAATACAATATTTTAATATAATGTTTTAACATAATACTTTTGTATGGCTTTTAAAATAATATTTCAATATACTTTGCTATAGTTTTAATATAATGTTTTAACATAATATTTGTCTATGGCTTTTAAACAATGGTTAACTTTAATCTGGAATTTTCTTAAATCATTTTTGTTTCTGATTAATTTTTTATGGGTGCTTATCAGTTTATCCATTTTTCTCATTTACAAAGTTACATTAAAAATTATCTGGCCTTTTTTTTATTAAAGTTTTATAAGCCTCAACATGTTATACTAGTAAAATCTTGAATAGGACAAAATATTTATTTTATTCTCCTACAAAGAATTTCTTTCACTTTTTCAATATTTATTCTCTTCAATTTTATATTCATAAATAAATTCAGTAATGTTTATTTTTAAAAGCATTTTGCAGCTTTCTTTGTTACTATTTCTTCTCTTGATTATTTCTAAATACTCAAAGTCTGAATTGAATGAATATGGTGTCTTTTTTCACTTTTGTTAAGCAAAACATCCTTTCATTTTTAGAACACTAACAGTTAAATAATGCAGTATTGAGAACTATAAACAAAACTACTACAGCCAAATTCTGTTAAAGTTTAGATGAGGGTTCAACAAAGAGTTGTTATATATTGTCTGACATTTAAAAGTATTTCCTCTAAATAGGGTTCAATCTGTTATTTGAATCAAACACTCTCAACCCTGGGAACTACAATGGAATGCAACCATGAGAAAAAAAAAGAAATATAGTGTTGATATATTGTGATGCAGAAATTTCTGGAGACAAAAGATTTCATTCACTATTAATGAATAACAGTTTATAAAATTATTGCTTTGTTAAAAGTTGATTGCTAGGCATTTAGCTTATGAAAAGTAATGGAAAAGTTGAAAGTTTGCAATTAATACAACTGTTTTGAATGCTATCACAAAACAAATTTTGAGAGGCTTTTAGATATTTTTTTCATTTTCAATTAGGTAAAATAGTTTTGTGAAAAACAATAAAAATCATCTAAAAAATCCAGTTGTATCAAAAACATAGATATTTATTAAGGTCAGCTTATTCTGGCATAAGGACACAACTGTGGAGCACCCATGGAAAATCAAAATGATTATACTATATTATGATTATAGTAATGTTTTGTCATTATTGTGACATTAGTTAACTGTTAGGAAAATGATACCAAAAGTTAATGTCTCAAAATAAAATTAATCATGATAACTTTCTCTTAGTTTAAATAGTATATCTAAATTTGGTAATTCAACAGTAGTAAGAAAATCACTTTAGATAAAAAGATCTTCTCTTTATATATCTTTTGAGAAATTATCAGTAAACATAGAAAATCATAATTTCTGAAATGAATAAGGCATTGGAATAATGCTCATATTTGAAATATACACAATTTGTTGAGTATAGAATTATAACATCTGTTATTTAAAAAATATTGTGAATAAATATAAGAGATATTTTCAGCCTAAATCTATAAATTCTAAAATCATCGTTTTTTTTCCTACACCTTTTCTACAAAACCATGTTTTCAAATATTACTCTGTACAGTCATTATACATATAACTCAAATATTTTTTTTTTTTTTTTTTATAGAAAGAATCAAATCCTTTTCTTCTCTTTGTCCATTGTATTCTTTTTCCACTCTACGTGCCCTACCAACTGACAAATCTATTATTTATTAAAAGGAACGTCATGTTCAGGTTGACTGGCTGTCAGTCATGCATGTAACAAAAATAAATCTGATTAATAATAATTCAACCAAACACTTTGTTATTGTCATTATTTTTTCCTCCTCCTCCTCCTCTTCTAATGGGGCTTAATTTATTCACTGGAGTCTTTTATTCTTGGAGAATTGTGATCATTTAATATTGTGGAAAAAAAACTTTTAGACATTCAACCGTGTATGAGAAACTGTTTAACAAGAGAAAGCATTCAAAACAAAAGTCCGCAAAGTCAGTATTTACTTTCGGTGTTGTAATGTTTAACGGTTTTAACATCTAAGCTTAATATAATATCAGAATTGATGGCATCATATTATTATTATCATATTTCTTTTTAAATTAACAACCAATTTTAATAAAATTAAATTAAACTTTCCATATCTGCTGTACAAATGTGAATTTGTCTATATTTCTGAGATGAGGTATTATGTACATTATTTACATTATTCAGACTATTGTCCTCATCTTTGTCACCATATTTATCACAACGTTTCAGCCGTTGTACACTCCGGCCTTCTTCAGGTGGTTGGAATGTCAAACTGAACCTTTTATTCATGTGCCATGTTTGTTGGATGTCAGTTCAAGGACACATGGCACAGTGGATAAAGGTGTTGGTTAGATCCAGTGACAGGACCCAAATAGTGTGAGTTCAATACCCGGTTAAGGCAGTGGAGAACTTTCAGAGGGAAATTAACAGGAGATAACTGATAACTGACATCCATCAAACATGGCATGTGGAACTAAAACAGTCTACCCCAGTGAGCAAAATAAAGGGTTCAGTTCGACATTCCAACCACCTGAAGAAGGCCGGAGTGTACAACGGCCGAAACGTTGTGATAAATATGGTGACAAAGATGAGGACAATAGTCCGAATAATGTAAATAATGTAAATGTGAATTTATTATAAGGATGAAATTCCATATCTGATGTTTGTGAATAAGGGTGAAGAAATACTGGTAATTTTTAAAATTCGACTGCATTTCATACAAACAATGGGATCAATGATCAAGAGTTTCCCCTTTAAACAATAAATGCTTTATCATCAATCACAATTTGGTCTAATCATAAAATTAGAAACCAAAATGGATGAATGAGAACATTATTTATAAAATTTGTCTTATTAGTTACTTCTGAGAATTAACCTCGTCGAAGCTCATTATTGATATTAAAATTAAGAGAGACACATTTTAAGAAAAGAATATTTTACAAAAATGTTACAGGTTAGCACATCCACCAATGGAAGGGTGAAGAGTCAATTAGTCAAAATGTAAATATTAGTTCAACAAATTTGAGGTATTATTCTGAATAATTCAAGGAAGGGACATTTGACATGGTCTTGACTAAATGTTAGGGCAATAAGTTATTATGACCAAAATGAATTGTAAAATGTATCATTATTACCTTGAACATATTATGACATAAAACATTGTTAATTATTATTAATTCTTGTCTGGTATTTCTTTCACCTTAATTTTACTTGCATTCTATTGCAACATCCCAGACAATAATTCTATAACACTGGTATACAACATTGATTGGGAATAAAGATGCTTTCAAGCAATTTTTCTAAAGAGTATTTTATGAAGAAAAAGAAATGTTGTTTGAGTGAAAACCTTATATTTTATTTTCTGATCTGTAAAAAGGCAGCTGATGTTTCTGGGACACATAATGAGGAAGGAGTGCCTGGAAAATTTGATACTCATGGGTTGAATAGAGAGACAAGGGAAAGCAGCATATGACATAACTGACGAGCTTGAGCAGTGGATGACAGAACATGGTCTGGGGGAGGAAGCAGAGGGAAAGGAACTTGTTGAGAGCTACAAGGGATAGAGAGAGGTGGTGAGCCATGATCGCCTACATCCTGTAAAGACATGGCACATAAAAAGAAAGAAAAGGAGTAATGATGAGGTCTTAGAGAGGTTGCAAACAAGGAGGTGGCTTATACTTAATTTCAGGAAGAGGCAGCTGAAGTTTCTGGGACACATAATGAGTAAGGAGGGCCTGGAGAATCTGATACTCACGGGTCAAATAGAGGGAAAGAGAGACAAAGGAAAACAACATGTGACATACCTGGGAGACTTAAGCAAGTGGATGACAGAATGTGGTCTGGTGGGAGGAAGCAGAGAGAAGGAACTTGTTGAGATCTGCAAGAAATGGAAGGAGGTGGAGAGCCATGATCGGCTACGTCCTGAAAGGACATGGTGCATAAAAGAAGTATTTAATGACAGTCTGGGACAGTAGACATTAAAATTAGGTATGAAAGAAATACAAGAAAATTGGCAGTTTGTGTAAAAATGAATTTATTATAAGAAAGCAAGCTGCTTTTTAAGTAAAACAAAACATGTACAGAGAAGATATATTTCATTAAATAAAATGTATTCTTCCAATAAAACATTTTGACAAATATGAACCTATGAGCTACCAACCCCTACCAACCTCAAAATGAGTAAAGAATGAGATAATTAAAAAATGTTGAATCCCATTTTCTTTGGTTTTTAAAGGATATTGGGAAGAAAGAAAGAAAAAAGAAAGTGGTAGGTGATATAATGAAAAGTGTATTTATAAGCAAAAAAGAAAAAATAGTTAAAAGAAGATATATCATTAAGAAAATGATAGATGAAAGAAGGAAATAGCATAATGGTAAGCAAGAAAAAAAAAGAAATATATGAAAGAAGGGAAGAGTATTTTTGGTAAGAAAGAAAAAGTAAATGACAGGTGAAAGAAGAAAAGAATATACAGATAAGAAAGAAACACAAACTGATAGAAAAATATGAAAGAAGGAAAGAGTATATAAACAAGAAAGGAAGAAAAAAGAAAGTGATAGAAGAATGAAAAAAAAGAGTTTATTGGAAAGAAAGAATAAAGAAATTAACAGATATATGAAGGAAATTGTCTATAAGAAAAAAAGAAAAAATGAAGTAACATATGACAGAAAGAAAGATTAGATTTTAAATAAGAAATAAAGTGACAACTGAAAGAATGATAGAGTGTGTAGACAAGAAAGAAAGAAAGTGACAAGTGAATTAAAGAGTATATTGATAAGAGAAAGAAATGAGTGTAATAGATCAAAAAAGAAAAAAAAAGGAAGTGATAAATGAAAGAAGAAAAGAAAGAGATAAATGAAAGAAGAAAAGCAAGTGATAAATGAAAGAAGAAAAGTTTGTTTTCAAGAAAGTAAGAAAAAAATGTGACAAATGAATGAATGAACAAAAAAGTATTTTTAAAGCATTTTACTCCAAGCAAAGTGTGAGTGCTACTAGCATGGAGGGTTTTACAGAGAGTGAAAGTGAGAGAAAAGACTGGGTATAGGGGGGGGATTGAGGAAAGGATAAAAGATGAATACGGAACAAGGCAACAGAAGATGGTGAATGATGTTGCATTTAAATTTTTGAAAACTGTAGTTATCATGGAAGTAAGAGGAAGGGAGTTCCACAGGTGGGAAGTGTGAGAAAAGAACCTGTTAGAGTAGAAGTGGCAGTTGCATTTAACTATTTCAACAGTAAAAGGGTGGAAACTAGATGCCAATCTAGTAGCACGCTTAAATTTATGCAGTTAGGGCACCAGGGAAAAAAGCTTTTCAGGGCCATGAAAATATGTATAGAAAAGACATAGGACGACGTCACCTCCACTTGCCTTATGCGAATATAATTTAGAAATGATGTCTGAGACCAGTGACGGGGTTATGCGCATATCACTCAGTAGAACCTCAGTTCTAAGGGTTGTGTGGGAGGAATCAGGTATGGGTACTCCGAATGAATCAAGTGTTGAGTTGGATGAGAATTTCTGAGCCAAGAATCCAGCCTTATCTGCTGTAGATGTTAGGACTTTGAATTGAGGATTTGCTGTTCAACACACTCTTGTTGAGCCACCAATAATTTCTAGAACCAAACTTGCGAGATGCTATACGTCGTTTTATTCTATCAGCAAACAATAACTTTGCTTAATTGACGACATGCTTGCATTTATTACAAGCAGAGATAAAGAGATGTCTGTTGCAATCAGGCATGTCACTCTGGTACAGTCAGAATAAATGATTCCTGTGGGCTATAGTGTCTGAGCAAGCAGGTGAGAACCAAGGAGATGAACGCAGTTTCATTCCTTGGTGGAATGAAAGCATTAATGCTGGCTTTCACCCAGGAGGAGATCTCAGGCATGCATTTTTGAACGGGATTATTAAAAACTACATGTCAAGCAGATGTTCGCAGACATAAACTCCCAGGCCATGCATGCGGACTTGAGTTCTTTCTAAGTAGAGCAAAGTAGCCAGGAATCTAGAAATTAGAGGAAGAAATTGAAGAGTTAAGGTTAGTTTGGCAGAGAGCTAGGATGTCCGGAGACTTTTCAAAGAGGAACGATTCCGCACAGCAGAAGTTGGGACAAGTACCACGAATGTTGGAGAAGGAAAGGTTTAGGGGTTTAGGTGATTTTTGTTGAGCTGGTTTAGGTTTAACTTTGGTTGTTTATAGTCATGATGTGTTATATTGGTAAGGAAAAGGACTAGGGTAGTAGTAGCTGTGGGTCATCAAATGTAACAGAAGGAAACTGATGTAGACTGCAACATAGTGTGGCCTCGGAGTTGCCCAACGGAGGTGCTTGCAACCAGAAAACTTCCAACCTGGTACACTCAGTATGAAATGATGTTGTCATGCACATCACAAGAAATTCATGAGATACAATGGAGTAATGGATAGCAGCTCGGACAGAGGAATCGGAGAGCCGAGTTCAAATTCCACTCAAATCCATTACATTCACTTATATGCTAATACCCTTGAGAAAAGTATGAATCCTCTTCTTCTCCCCCCCCGCTGCAAGCTATGGCAGGTAAATAGCAGGACAGACCGGGTTCTATAGCCTTGGATGGCAACTGGTCTACTGCAGAAAGAAATGGCAACCTACTGCGGAAAAAAAAATCTGCCTCGTCAGTCATGATACATGATCGCCTACGCATGATCGGCATAACTGACTTACTGACCACAATTACAGGCCTGAGAAAAGGAAAGGGACCGGGAACGCCTGCCTAAACAGGACGCAAGGGATGAGCTTCTACCCTTGTTCAAGAGAAAGGGGAAGAGTATGAACCGGGCGATATAAAAAATATTTTTAAAAATTATTAAAAAAAAGAAGTAATTCCAGGTTTGACTTTTACAAAGAACCAGTTTCAGTTCAGAAAGCTCCTCTGGAGAGCCGAGCTGATACCCCAGCATGAATATGCATGCATATCTGTGTGTGGGGAGGGTAAAAAAAGAAGTATGATATAAAATACTTAAGTTTTAACTTGGTATACGTCCGAATACCTACTCTTACAAAATGTGTAAGCCTATCTCCAGCCAGTTGTCAGAAAACGAAAAAGAGAAATCAAAGTTAACTGATCCTGATCAAAATTAACATTGCGTGTGAATATGATTTAGTACAAACAAATAAATTGTAAAAATTGTAGCAAAAAAAACAAAAAAAAACGAACGAATACGTTGCAGAGAATCAAGAAAAAAAAGAAAAGAATATTAAATTAAAAATGAACACATACATTATTACATTCAGAAAAGGCCTGGATTCGTCCATCAGCACTGGCAAGATTTTTGGAGGGTGCAGAATTCATTTAAACTCGGAACACATTTTCTGGCCGTGACCGCCGAACCTTTTTCGCTCCGACGTCTGACATTTTCTGATTTCCACCTGAATTTTTCTAAGCTAACCAAATTCTATGTCAACTTTAAATTCAAGTACCAGTAATTCTCCCAACTATTCTGTAGTTTGTGGACTGAGGATTTTTAATGCTAAATTAAAAAAAAATAACAGCATTTTGTTTAGGATTTCACGGAAATTGATAACTTTGATTTTAAATCGAGTTGAAATTAGTTTCGAGGTGAAGTTAGTTTTCTCACTCATTTTTTTTTTAGTCAGTGACTTTTGACCAAAGTGAGGAAGTCTTTGATAGTCGATTTCCATGCCATAGAGTTGAGAATGGAGAGAAAAGGGGCTGAGCAATACACTACAGTGTTACTACCTCTTTTTTTGGGGGGATGGGAGTAGAGGCTACAAATGCATCTTTTCTTTTAAAGAGGAAGAAAAGAGCTATCAACTCTTTCAAAATGCGTGAGTTGACCCCCCGCCATTAGTAGAAAAAATTAAAGAAATGCTACAAACCCGATCAAAATTAACACTGCATTAAAAACTTTCAAGCAAAAAACGAACAAAGACGTTGCAGAGGATCAAGAAAAAACAACAAAAAAGAATAAATTAAAAACGAATACATACATTTACATGCAGAAAAAGACTAAAAAAGAATGTGACAGATGAAAGAAGGAAAGAATATATTGGTAAGAAAGAAGTAGAAAGAAATTGATAGATGAATGAATGAAGGAAGGAAAACGTATTGGCAAGAAAGAAAAACGAAAGTAACAGAGGATGAAGACATGTCAAAAAGAGGAGAACAAGACTAAGCAAGAAAGTTATGTTGAAGGAATGTACTAGGGCTGTTGATAGGAGAGGAGGGTACATACATTATATATAAATTATGATGGAAAACAGAAATAGAAAGTGGAAGGATGTATATATGTGTGTGCGCATGTGTTGAACAGATAAACAAGATGTTGGGAAAAGACTTACAGCTTAAACTAATTTTCAACTATCATATGAAAACCTTTTACTCATGAAGATTTGCTTTTATTAATCTTTTTTTTTATCTGACACAAGACTACAATTGTAGAGTATATAATATGGATTAATACTAACATTTGGATTAATAATTTGGATTAATTTGGATTAATTCAAAAACAATTTACAGAAGATAGTCTAAAATATTAAAGAATAATTTCAGATGCATTTAAAATTTAAATTCAAATTAAAAATCATATATATTAAAAATTCGTAAATGATTGCTGCTGTTGTTGATGATGTTGCTGCTTATGGGTTTGAATTAAACAAAAAACAAAAAAAAAAACTTTAAAAAATCTCAATGAAAAACATTCAGTTGATTGGCCAAAAAGTTTATTCTGTTTTTTTTCTACATGATATTAGGAGCAGTTCCCTTCACTTAAATTTTTGAAAAAGTTTATTTTTATTCTTATTTTAGCAGATGTCATCAATGGGCACCTTACAGATCTCATATCAATGTGCATTTGACAGATGTCATATCAGTGTGCATTTGGAACATTTGTGTACCTTATGGAGGATGTATTGTGAATGAGTGAGTATGTTAAATGTGGCTTGTGAGGATTTATACTGGAGATACTTTGCTGATGGATGCTCTAAGGTCAGGTAGATTATGAGGTTTATAGCAATCTAATCAATATGTTACCCGATAATAATCAATATTATATAATACTAGCAGTAGAGCCCGGCGTTGCCCGGGGATGTAACAGTAAGAGATAGATCAAGTATCGACCATCATAAAGACTGAAAAATAAAATTGACAAAGATTATTGTTTAAGGTTGACAGACACACATGTCTTAATTAGTTTTTTTTTTTGTTTTTGTTTTGTTTTGTTTTTTTTACGAATTGGTCAAACTCAAACAAAAACTTTGTTTTCAATCGTTATGAGTCTACCGATTGAATAGAATTTTATTATAAACAATTGTCTTGTAAATGGAATTTTTAAAGCATTCTGAATGTAAAAATAAAGAAAAAGTGTGCAAGACAATAAGAAACACTACCTGCAAAAAAAAAAAAAAAGTGAAGTTTTGTTGAAATCGGTTGAAAAATGTAGGAAATCCGATCCCATATATAAACGAACACACACAAACAACCTGGGTTTTATAATAAGTATAACTCGATATGAGTTGTCTCCCTTTCATTCTCGTGATGCCTCTTAATCGTGTTTTCAAACTGATTTCGTGCAAAAACAATTGTGTTTTTCCAATTTAGGGTGCTGTCAAAAAAATCACAAGGTAATTTTACGTAGTCCTGTGAAGTTTTGTTGAAATCGGTTGAAAAATGTAGGAAATCCGATCCAATATATAAACGTACACACACACACACACACACACACACACACACACACACAATCTGCGTTTTATAATAAGTAAGATGATATAAGCTAACCAACATATTCAAAATGTCCAAAACAAGTGTGGAAAATCATTTGCACCAGATTGTTTTAAGTTAAGTAATTCAATATGTGGCATTCAGATAAGTTAATTACTGATTTCAATTTCTGTGTTCAATTTGCTACTTAAATGTAGAAAAAATATTCTATTTTGAAACAAATTAGGATGAGTAATGCAAAGTAGATAATATATAACAATGTGGAATGCTATATTTTAGATGCATTTCAAATGAAACATGACTAACTATACCAAAGACCTGTTTTCCTCAAAAGAAAGTGATGACATGATAGAATTGAAATAGAGAACAGAATGATTCAGTTGAATGTGTATTGCTCCCAATTAATTCAGTTGAAGATAGCAATTGATAAAACTCATGCAGAATTTGCCAAGAGAAAAGTATAATCTATTAGGATAACACTGCATTTATCTTTGGTAACAAGATAAAGTTTGTTACAACTTGGTTGGAAAATGTGAATTGTAACCAAACCTCATATAAAATTGCAATTAATCTTTATATAGAATGTTAAATTGAGAATGAACATAAAATGATAGAATTAATTTATTTGAAATTGTAGTGACACTGGCAAATTAATATGCCTAATTTGCATAAGTGCAAGAGAAAGCCTATATAACTCGTCACTGAGAATAACGTGGAAACGAAGACAAGCTTAGCTGTACATCTTCTGTGTCTGATTTTTGTGTCTGACTTTGGTTGAACTCTCTGCTTAGGCAGAGAGGAACCTGGACAAAGCTTTGCCGAAGGGCAAAGTTTCCTCCGGGGAGGTACGTCTAGGCGGGTTCAAAGGGTATATTTTTGGCTGAGCCTACGGGCTCGGATAAACCCACTTTAAACTCGGCCTTGTGCCACATGCATTCCTGGGTGGGGGGCTGTTAGATACCGAAGACAAGCTTAGCGACTGACTAGTGCTAAACTTTGACTTCACATCAGAAATATTAAAAGTTTTCAACTAATTTTAATGAGCTTATTGAATTGTCAAAAAGACAGATGAGTGCTTTTATATTTTTAAAGAATTTTTTAATCTTCATGAATTAAGAAAATAATATTATGTAGAAGAGGTAAAGTGTTATATAATATTTGTTAATTCAAAATGAAATTGTTAGTTTTAATTCTTGTCACAATGGTTACTTTTGCATGCATTCATTTGGGAAATACTTACTCTGTGCTTTCTCTTGATTAAGATTTTGTCACTGGAGAGTGGATACCTGGGCAATTAACTTTCTCATAAATATCTTACTTGCAACAAAATTGCCATTGTATTCAATGTCAAACTTGAAAGATGAAGGCCATTATTTTAGATCCTAACTTGCTAGCAGAATATTCCAAATAAGTGGCTAATATTTTAATTGAACTTAGAACGAATAATGTGATGTTGTTTATTATTTTACTCACTCCCTATTTTTAAATGTAAAATTATCAATATAATTTATAATTGATTTCCACTTTATAATGCACAGAAGATGTGAAACAAAAAAATATTTTCAGTTTGTATAACATTGTTAAGAAAGTTTTAGAAATCAATGTAAAGTTTAGACTAAAGACTCCAATTTCTAGGCTCAGGATTGTCCCACATGACAAATGCCTAGTGGAATGAAATGATAGTTCATGAATTTGGTGACATAGTAATTGTGAGTTCAATCCTTGAGCTAGGTAGTGCAAACTCAGTGAAAACAGGTGAGCAATAACTGAGTGGTATAGTCATAGACAGTGAAGCAAACAAATCTACCCCTTGAAGATTAAATAAAGTGTTTAATTTGAAATTTCCTGAAGGTTACCCAACTCCCTTGAAATCTGAAGAATGTAAAAGGGACAAAAGCTGAAATGTTGTGATAATAATAATAATAATAATAATAATAATAATAATAAGAAGAAGAAGAAGAAGAAGAAGAAGAAGACAAGCTCATTAGTCTGAATGTGAGTGCAATATTTTGATAAGTTTTTAATTTATATTAAAGATTACTGAAAGAATTTTCTGAAATTGAACATATTGAGAAATTATTTAACAACAATTGATTCCTGGAAAATAACAGTTCATTTGATTGACATAAAAGTATAAAAAAAAAACATGAAAATGATGCTTTGCATTTCTTGTGAAAATTCAATGTTGACTGAGTCATCAAAGAGAAGTTCATTTTTAATGTTTCCCATATTATTGGCTAACAAGTGACCCATTGCTTCATCTAACTTCTTTGAGGTTCAAGAGGTCAGAGAATGAGATTCTTAAAAGTTGCCATCACTTATGAATAATGTAAACTACGTGTATGAAATCTTTGTTTGAGTTTGGGAGGGTGTTATGTCCTTGGAAACTATGATAATTAGTGTTGGCTGATGACCATAATTCCATTGATGGAACCATTATAGAAAACTTTCAACTGTGTTTGCTGATATAACCTAGCCACAATAATAAATGGCATATTATATATCTATTTAGCAATGAGCCATCAAGGAGAAAATACATAACATAAAATTAGTACTGTTTCATTGACACTTAATAACATGGCAAAAGATTCTGACATTTGGTGTAGAATTACATCATACTTTCTAAAGGTCAACTGTATAAGTTGTCTTTGTTTTTAAGATTGTTTATAATTATAAGTGAAGTGGCGAATATGGCATCTGGTGAGCAATTAACTTATTTTTTAGAATCTGCAAATCAAAAAGTCATAAACCTGCAAAAGGAATGTTTGATGTAGAAAATGTCACTGAACTAGAAATGTTTATAAAGTATTTGGTTTATTCTAAGTTGTAAAGAAGTGGCTAAAATATATCAAAAGGATTTTGCATACAAATAAGTATTTTGGTTACAAACATGTACATATATACATAAATAAATTGGCATATATATGTTTTTATTATTCATCAATATCTATACACTATGTCAGATTTTAGTAGACATATCAATGTTTTCCCAATATAGCTGGCCACTTGTATTCAAGGATACCTGTCTACTAGTGCGGCTAGCCAATCCCTATTGCAGATGCCTGCTCAGGTGAATTTGTGTTTATTCAACATCCACAGAGCCCACTTGTGGTTTTTACTTCAGCTATGCTGAGAAGACCTTAGTTACAGTTTCTGGGAAAGAGCATGTTATCTAGTGTGATCAACAATTTGAACAAGGCCAGCATACTCAAGCCCTCGGCCATGATGACTTGTGATTTTGTGCTGGCACAGCTATCAATGGCATCCAAGAGTTCCATCTACCCAGTTTCATTCATGTGGCATGGTTTTCAGACACTTTCCAAAGGTGCTGCATGCTGGGATTGACACCTTCAGTCTGATAACACCAGGAAGTCTCCTTCCTGACAAATTGTTGGGGCGCACCCACCTTCTAACTAGTAATGAACTGGTCC